CTGGGATTTGTCCAAAGGCGACGGTTTCAATGAAACCATCACCTTTGGAACTTTGAGGTTTTGTGTCTTCCAAAGGCGACCCAGATTGTCCCCCCAGAATATCCCCCAGAATATCCCAGCCTGGCCTGCGAAAGTCGTCCTTGATTTCAGAGTCGTCTACAAGTCTCTCTCGCAGCTTGAAGTAGCTGACCAGAACCGCAAACCAAATTATGGATAGCCTGCCCAATCCTTTGGATACGGAGATTGACAAGAAACCTACCTTGCTGTCCTTACTGTAGATTTCCAACGGTTCTCTTGCCCCCTCATATCCTCCACGCACAATGTCCAGAAGATTGTTGAGCCATTCCTGCAGAAGTGGCCAGCCATCTGCAGGCCTAGTGTAGCGGATGGCAAGGAGTGGCACCTCTACGATCTGGTGACTGGTGTCCTTACATCAAATTCAGTTGGTCCAGACCCAGACCAGATTTAGAAACAAGACGCAGAAGCTGGAATGCAACTGATTTACTGGTAATTTGAAGCTGGCAGGCTCTTCAAAGAGATCCCCGCAGATCTCATTCAGCCATGTCTTCAACCCTTCACAAATACCCTCAGACAAGTTCTCGATGATAAACTTTGCCGGATGTTCGTCCTTGCTAGCATCAAAGCACCTTGGGACACTGTGAAAGAAGCAGTGCCCCTTGAGTTTAAAATAACTGCTTCTATCAGAAGGTGACTTGGAAGACTGTACTATCTATTACTTACTGTCTATAACTGCATGGTGTAGCACCTGGCTTCTTCCACGATCAGATCTGCCCATGGTTGGCTGAGCCGGTGTGCCTTGCTACTCACTGAGGCCTTGGAACTGGTAGCCCGCTTGCCCATTGTCCGCCGGGCCAGGCGAGACAGAGGCCAGGAAACCTGCCCAGCCTTGAAATCAAAATTCCCTGCGCAAGTAATGCATATTAAAAGACAACTCATTGGTTCATGGTTTTCTGACCCAATTTGAACGTCTCAAAAATCACTCAGTGTTTCTAGTAGCCAGCGTCGTGCTCTATGCTACATGTTCTAATTACTACCCAGCTCAGCAAGTCTGGGCTGAATTGTTTCAAATTTTGAAGTTCACAACTCCTCCAGCCCAGTGATGATTCCGAGCATAAGTGCTCCGATGCATGGCAGGTTCATACCATTGCCTGCCATGCGCACCTTTGATGTGAAACATACACCATCCATCCTCAGCTTCGGAGCACGTGCCTTGCGCGCCTGTGCACTTGTCACAGGCAGAACGTGGCTGCTCAACATCTCCTCTGGAGAAAGCATCCTGGAGCGCGCCTTGGAAGGAGGGGTGGATTGATACACTGAGTCTCTGAGGTAGGTTGGCTCATGCTTGGCTTAAAATAATGACAGTCATGACCTTGCCTGGTGGAATAACCTGCCACTATTTGTGGTCAGGGTCGGTAGGGACCCATCCACTGTATTGCCTCGACCCCGTTGGGCAGCAGGGGATTGATTCAAGTCAACCAGCTTGAACTTGTCCAGCTTCTGGTAGGCCTTCAAGATTTTCTCCTTGGATTGGATTTCTGTCGATTTTGACTTTAAAGTTTGCAAAACTTGAGACAGAGATGGTCCCTCTTACATGACAATTCCGACAATGGCCATGGCTCCTCACTGGATGACAACTTGCCGTCCGAAGTTTTTTTGGACCAAAAGTAGCTATCAAAGGTCATGGTGGGCTGGGAGCACAGGCACTCCACGAATTGCTGAAGGGTGAACTTTTTGGTCCAGGCGTACTCATTCTTTCTATAGGCAACCATGAAAACTCTGGCCCTTGCACATCCCATGCCCAGCAGTCGTGGGTCCAGCCTCACTGATGTCAGCTTCCAGGTACCTGGATGACCTTTGTTGAGGCACTGGAGGACAAGTGCTTCACTGTATTCCGTCACGTTTTCCAGCAACAGTATCTCTTGTGAGGGTGCAAACTTTTCAAAGTAGGATTGGTGAAGAATGAACTGCGAAGACTTCTCCCTTTCACGCTTGCCCATCATCGAGAACGACACACATGTTGGACCTAAGTAAAAATGTCTTCAACAACAAAGACTCACAAGAAAAGGTTCAACCAGTTAGGAGACGGATCATTCCTGGAGGACCTGAGTTCTGAACCTGCCACATTCACTTTCTTGCCTTGGAAGAGGAGGGGATTGGAGGGGGACAATTGAGGGTTGGAGGAAATTCAGAATATGCACACTTTGTTGAGATGAGGGACGGTCAGGGTTGTAGCTTTGCTGAATTTCACAGTGCTTCTTGTGAGTGGTGCACCAACATGTCCAATTAGCTGGGTCGACAGTGGTGATATCCTCCCAGTTGCAGTGACCGTAGGTGTTCCTCAACACCTTCTGGCAATCCTTGTCGATCTCACAACTGCTGGTCAAATTGACAGGGTTTCCAAGTGCATGTTTCCTCAAACGCCTGGAGAGGAACTCACGGCTTGCTGCCTGGAGGCTCAGAGCAGCCTGAGGTACAGAGATCTGGACTCAATGAAGACATGGGATTGGAAAGTTGGCTCAGACTGGGTACCCTACTGACTCTGCACATCCAATGCCCGAAAACGAAGTCGAGAGGTCCCAAGCCCATAGAGTTAATTTCTCCACCAGCCATGCATCCCCCCCACTTGTTTGCCAACTTCATCAGGAACACTTCAGCCCAGCTGTATGTTGAGATCACTGAGCGAAAGCATGGCTTCAAGTTGGTGGGTATCGGCACATTCGTCTTCGGGTAGAAGCGCCTGTGCGAGTCAGGGTGAATAAGTGATCCTTACTACAGAGCCACAAACTTGTGGGTACGCCTTTTGGTGACAGTCTTCTTGACCACTGCCTTCCGGGGATGCTTCCTGCCATTGTTTTTGTGCAACAGTTGAATTCTGTGCCATTGCTGACTGGGTAGTATTAGTAAATGCACTTGCAGCAGTTGACAGGTCCTGGAAGTGTTTGGACAGCTTTCAAGTGCCCTCCTAACAGCGTCCCGCAAACAGACCATCCTGAGTGAGCCTGGTCAATGGACACGTGGAATTATTGGCGCCCCTTGAGCCAACAAAAAGTTGAACCTGGAGACACATGTTTGTGAAACTATGTGACTGCTTCTAACTTGTCACTTGCTCCAAAGGACGTCACACTTTTCAGCCTGTCACACATTAAAGAACATGTGGCCCCAGCTAATTGACGCAGCACCTATCACTGCCCCTAAGGCTCCATCACGCTTTCCTTGGCCTGACCGCAGCATGTCAAGCGGAAGTGTGGTTGCTGGGAGCCCAAATCTGGAAACAGCAGCAGGCCTCCTCATGTCGTTTTCTTTTTTTTCGGTTCTTTGAAGTGTCCTGGCTTGCAAAACACCATTGGACCCAATTGAACATTAGGCTGTCCTCTGTCTTCAGCGGTGGTGGCCAAAATGGATACCAATCCACCATCTGGCAGAGATTCAGCATGATTCAGCAACACATGACATGACATGTTAGACACAGTGACATGTGTGAGAAGAAATGATGAGCCTGTTGAAAAGTCATATCATCCACTTGAGAGTCTTCTTGGTCTAGCATGTCCTGGAAAGAGGAAGGCGGGTGAACATAAATCTTGGATTGAATACACGCTCCTGGACATGCTTTGCGACCTTCTCCCGCTCCTCAAGATTTGTTCACTCAGGCCACTTCATTTCCAGACCTGTCTTATGATTGGCCAGCCTCACCCTCAGGGACATGGTGGTTCTGCCTGGAAAGGCCAAGGGAAAACACATGGGTCCCTGGTTTAAAGGTCCTTGCCTGGCTGCTAGCATCCAAGCAGGGAAGCACACTTCCTACGGAAAGCCTTTACCCAGCTGAGCCTATGATCCACTTGTGAAAGTAATGCGATTGGTTTGCTCTTGCAAGAAACTGAACAAAAGGATGGAGGGCACCCTTTGTCATCCTAGGTTATGCTCAGCGTGAAACCGCATGGCAGGGGCAATTCTGCCCACCAGCCTTGGCAAGCCTGCCACTCGATCAGCAGGAGGAGGGCTCACCAACCATGGGAGTGGGGGAACTGGCTCAGGTTGAGCGTTCGAATCAGTGGTCCGAAGGAGGAACTCAACAGAACGACGTGTGGTTTCATTGGGTGCTCTTTCCAAAAGCACCTCAGCAAGCTTCAAATAGTCCTTCCGTTTATTGGCCTTCACAAGCTTCAATGGGCGCGGGACAGTGGGCACAGGCCCCAACAAGGCAGTGTAGCGATGAGGCCAAAATAGCAATGCTTCCTGACAGGTTCGAACATAGTCAGATTTACTTTTTCATGTTTGGGGCATGTAACAAGCAACTCCGTAGCAAACACTGTGTTCCATTCATGTGCCTGGCAAAGATGATCATCACTGGCGTTTCGTTTCAAAAGGCCAATGATGTCAAGAGGATGGTCAGGGAGAAGAGGAGCTGCTTTACCAGACTTCAATATGTTCGCTTGGACGGTCTGTGGAAGATCTCAGGGAACACAAAGATTGGATTAGCACACCTTTAAGTACAAACTGCAAATTTGTTACCAACTCTGTTACAGTGCCTTGTCGCCGTAGCATCAAAAAACAGTGCACCCCTGTGTCATCATCTCTCAGGCCACCCCTCATCGACACTGGAGCAGCTGACAGCCTCACGAGAAGAGAGCGGTTGAGAAAAGAACTGCAGTTGTTGCAAATCAGGTTCAGGTTAGAGATTTAAAGGTCAAGAGTCAAGAAACCAGGTTTTCCAATCCCGAACTCCGTTTATATATTCGATGTGGATCGTTGCATCTTTGCCGATCCAACTCTTGATGTTGATTCGCTCGAGAATGTCAGTCAACTTCCTCAGGGACTAGACACCCACAACGATATGCACATTGTTATTTTGTATGGCTGCTTGTCAGGTGAAACAATTCTTAGGGCCTGGCTCCACCACATCAGTCTCATCACATAGTACTGATATGTACTTGAAGCATGTAGCGATGATGCCATATATTTGGTCTCAGTTGGCTGAAACTCTAGAAACAAACCAAAGCATGTAACATCATGATAACATCATGTAACCCCTGCCATTCAGTGTCAACAGGTTTCCCATTGTTATACCAAGTGTCCAAGGGCATTGTGTGTGTGTGACCTCGTTTGCTGAATAGCAACGAGGTCAGGTTCAAAGGAGTCTGTGTCAGCAGCATGGATAAAAATTTGATCACCATGGCATTCTTTGCCTCCCGAACGCAATTGTCCGCCTGGGCATGTCCGACAACACTGACTGCAGGTGAATTGGTTGGAAGTGACATCAAAAACAATGAAACTGATGGAAAATATTCTGTCATCTTCTGTCCGAAGAACCCACACGCAAAGTTGCTGTGGGAAGTCCTTCCCTCGTCTCTCACATTCAGTCGCCACCAATTGTATGGATCGTGATAGTGTCTCTATCACCATGGAGGAGTCACTTGGTACCCGGCTATCGACGATCCACAATGCCAACAAGGCATTGTGTACCCAAACACCCTCCACCTTGAACCTTGGCTTCTGAAAGCCTGACAGACTCTTAGCCACCAGTGCTTTTTTTTGCCTTGGAATAGCCCATTTGGCCTGATCCATTCCATCCTTATTGAACATCATTGAACAATGTCACAACACAACATGCCAACAGGGTTGTGGTGTGTTGTTCCGCTACCGAGACACTATGTGGATCATCATGCATGATCCCTGGCCCTGAGGTGCATTTAATGGCCCCAGTTTCTGGAGATATTCCTCTAACGCTCGATCTTCTCGGATATGGTCAAGATGGGCTTTGTACCCTCTTGCCAGATCCAACCGTGTTGCATCATCCTTAGATGAGCATGAAAAAGCAGACTCCTATAACATCCTATAACCAACATGATTGAGGCATCATAACTTGGTTCTAGCATCTCTTGCCTCTGCAAAAAGTTCCTTGTATGCGACGCAGTCATCGCATGCTGAGTGATCTGTGGGTGGTAAGAATCGTAGCACCCGTGCCCACTTGGAGCGGAACTGGCGCCAGAAGTGCATATACCTTATGTTGAAAAGAGTATTGAGCTAGCATGTACTGTCTATAGTATAGTTCCCTTTCAAACACAAGAATGCGACTAAGTTACGACACGTCACTCCCTGTGACCTGCTTCATCTCCCACCACAACATTGCTATCGTGGTTGGGGGAAGCCATCGAGATGGAAGCTCCCCCACACTACGACCCCAGTTGGTTTCAATGTACCTGAGAACGGAATAACATTCTGACTGACACTTGGTACATAATTAATTGCACCATGGTTGTGACAAAATATAAAATTGCACCATGTGCACAGCCGTCATGCTGGGTATAGTAGCTGTGCAAACCCATTATGTGCAATTCAAGCTCACGGTCTTGTTCTAAGCTTTCTTCTGGCAAGGCCAAGGTGTCTCCAGAATGAGAACCAGAGTCGCTGGCAGAACCAGAGTCTCCTGAATGCACAAACACAAAATTAAGGAACTCATCAGCTTTCCAATCACCTCCAGATCATTTCAGAATATTTGGTCAAGCTGCTGTCAAACTCTTCTCCATGGTCTCCCAATGACACCACCATAGGATCCTTCTCTTCTTTCTCAGCTTTTCGACGCTTGCGCCCAGGCCTTCTGAACCTCAGCTTCAAAACACAATATGCATGTCATGTCTTTTCAGCTGCCTGGTTTATGTTGAAGAATCGTAAACTTTCCACCAATCTGAGATACTCTGTCGGAAGCATCCCTGCTGCAGACATATATATATATTCAGGAGGTATTGGTCCACTGCCATCGCTTTGTAGGGTGTCCGTTTCAGTGCCTCAGCAATCCCAATTCTGCTGTTGTTTCTTGAATATCGCAAACTTAAATTCTTAAATGGGTCAGTATGTCCAACTGACATCAAGATACACCACCCCAAATGTTGTACCTGTGATCCACTTGGCCTGACATCAGCCGCCCGATCCTCTCATTGCCCACTCCCAGCAAGGCCGCCACACACTTCGGGGAAGCTCGTACACCAAGCAGGGTCCATTCCCGCCGGCATGATCGGTCAGGATTGCCAACGCAGCTCCTCACCTTATTAACAAACATGGATGGCTACAAACAGTACAGTGAGAGCACGTGCTGAAGCATACAACAACAGCATCAAATGGAATTGAAGTCAGGCCAATTCACATATTCATCCTGAAATGTCTTGGACAAGTTCCAAAAAATATTGAGGAATTGCATCAATTTGTCCAGGATCTTCCTGAACTCACCAAAGCATTTGCCCCTGCCACAACGGCATGTCATTCCTGTCAGTCTGTCGATCCTGTCTTTGTCAAGGCCATTCTGCACTTGCCTCACTGCACAACAATGGACCAGTACCACAGCCACTACCTACTAGTTGGTGCAAACATAGAAAAAACAATCTACAACACTTTCCATTCTAATCCTTGCAAGGCACGAGACTCTCTCTACACTCTTCGCAAACAGTTTTCGTTTGCGACCATCATAGGCTGGTCGTGAGGTATCCACAACCTGTCTCTTGCTAGCAGATGCAGCTGATAGTTCCTTTTCCAAAACGTGTCGGTCTTTGTAAAGAACCAATGACTCCAAAGAAAACTCAACCTTGGATGAGGGTTCTGCAGGACTTGGTTCTGGCTCTGGTGGTTGAGTCCCCAAACTTCGAAGGTAAGCTAGCCGCTTATTCCCTTCAGGAACAACAGCAGAGCCAGTGCCAGTGTCAGGCTTTGCCACACTCAACGATCTCAAATACCTTGAAATGGATCCAATCAAACAAGATGTAACATGTCAAGACCAATGTCCATATGCATTTTGTTTCAACCTGCCGAGTAACTGTAGTCTTTTCTCAGACATCTCGACATGGCAGCGACGATTGCCCCATCCCTTTGCTTGATTGTACACGGCATCAGGTCCATAAGTCTTCCTCCCTCATGTTTCAGCCAGCTGATACCAACCCCTGATTGCAAAGTTATAACCCCTGAACGCAACGAAATCTACTTATATATATATTATATTGTTATATACATGCGTGTAATGTATATACAGGTATGCACACATAGATGTATACATTGTGTGTATACATGTATATATATATATGTGTGCAAACATGCTAAGCAAAGTCCAGTAAAGTTTTGTGAATCCATGGATGCAACTCAAGGCATTTGCTCACTATCTCCGCAACTGGAACCACAAGCACCCTGCAAACAAACCCGAACTCTTCCGCAAGCAAGTGGCGCTAGGAATTGCGAATCGTCCATCTTCCAAAAGCCACCGGTCGCGCCTCAAAACTGCGTGGGACGCTGAGCGCGCGCGGACCGCGCGGACCGCGCGAAGAACGGGCCCTCTCTGAGCCACAACGGCTGGCAGGTGGCGCGGCACTCGCGTCCTATGTCGCTAGGGACCGCACTTGGGTGGAGGGGCACCTGAAATCATCGAAAGGTCCAAGACCTATAGAACCCAGACATCGGAAAAGACCATCGTTTTGGGTGGTTGATGGTTGAAAACAGGTGTCACTCAGGTTCTAGGCATATACGATATATGATGATTCTGCACAGCCGAAGGACGCCGAGCAGGTTCGTTCTGACCTTTTACCTTTACATATGCCTTCAAAACGGGGTTGTAACATGTTGTAACGTCATGGCTGTCCCCTGCAGGCTATTGCCATATCAAAACTCTACAGGCCCTACCCATCAATCAGTTGTGCAGTAGGGAAACCATCTGTACACGCGGGCGTGAGTCCCTCCTCTTGGAAAAATCTCATGCCAACACTGTTTAACGTTGCGTCGGCCACAGGTGTTCCTTCCCACAGTTTTGGACAACTGTGGACTTCAGCTTGGAGGGGAGGCATCGCATTTTAGGCAAAGACAAACATCTACCCAACAAATGATTCATAGTGTATGCCCACGAGTATTCAAAGGCAGGGGTCACACACATACACTTCACTAAACATGAAATCACCAAACTGCTACTGCAACTCGTTGCGTTATTGGTTGCAACCACCCCATGTTTAAGCGGGTGGGCAAGTGGTGGATTGGCACTTGCCAATGCATTGGCATGACTAAGTGTTACCGACCAGGACCGATTTCTCTAGACTGGAAAGCCGTCCAATGGTCTGGCAGCATGGAACAAGCACATGTTAAGCCTGTGAAGCAAGTACACTTGGCACAATGAGTCTCTCTTCCCGAACTCTTCCCGGAACCGGCCTACGATGTGTTCAGAAGGAGTTCATGCATGAACACACTCACCACGTCACATGTTTATGTGCAACTAAACGGCTCAAAGAGTTTCCAAAAAACATAGATCCTTGAAACTTCGGTGGTGGAGTGATGTCCGTTTGATGATCCCCAAAACAGCTTTTAGATCCTCCACACCGCTCTTGTTCCTTCCTCCTCCCCAACCAGGTCCCCTGGACCAACCTGATCTGACGTCGGAGGACGTCGATCCAACGCTTGTGCCGCTCGCTGCGCCGTGCGCTGCACCTGCCAGCACCCCATGTCGAGCGGCTAATAGATATGGTATAGACCCCCCATGGAACCAGGACCTTCCGAGTCCTATAGAACATGCCAATGTTCCAAGAACCATCCGATTCATGGCGAATCTTTAGAGAGGATCTGTTCCCTTCGCAGCGACCGAGACGAATGGGATGTTCCGCGTTGGTCAGCCTGCGTTCGCCTTGGTTCGTCTATGGTTCGGCCCCTGCAGCGAGTTCCGGGCCCCTTCCGAGGTGGGTAAGTACCTAAGCCTCAAGGCACCTGAAGGCCTTGCATGTTCAAATGGTCTAATGCGTGGTGGGACACACATTGACACAGTCCTATGACACCCTAGGTCTCCAGTCGCACTGTATAGGAACATGTTTGGGGTGGGTGCCAGGAACCTGCTGAGGCACTTGGAGCCCCGGGGACCAATCAGAACCTTCTCTGACGGGAGTATACCATCGTTTTTGGGGGGGTCCGGTCCCAGTCTGCCTGTCCTCACCGATGTCTCTTTCGCGACCGTCGTGTGGATCCGTCTTTGGGGTCGCTCCTCTTCATGCCACCAGGCACTCGCCAGTTTCGCGTCCAACGCCTCGACCGAATGCGCGCGGCAGTCAGTGGAACCTGTGCTGAGTGGACCAATGGAACCCGTGGACCAATGGAACCATGTATCTATATATTTTACATATTGAATCTCGGTATATCTGTGCACCTGTGCGCATACATATTAACATCCTAACCTTATAGTATCTATCTCCAAAAAACAGTGACCCTCTGCAATTACAAGATCAAGGCCTTTCTACGATCATGACACAGGGGTTCTAGGATGTTCCAGGCTCATCATGGAGCATCCACAACTTGATCAACCTCTGATATTAAACAACAAATGCAAGCTTTTTGTGTAGGATTTCGATGTGAAGAACATGGCCCAAATCAAGCATGTGGGCTTAGGCGCTTGACGGCTTGCAGCGTCTGAAGTTCCAGTTCAGCCGAGGCCATGTCCCCGAGCCCACCGACCCGGTCGAGCCGGACAGACGAGTCTCGGCCTCCTTGGTCATGTTCTTAAAGCGTGCGCCTTGACACCTGAGAAGCGACCGCCCGCCCACCGTGTCTAGGACGAGTGATAGGACGAGCGACCAACGCCGCCAGTCACCAAGATTTGGCACATGGATACGTCTATTTTAAGGACACATGCCATCCACTATTCTCTGCTTGTGACTCCCTATATCCCTCATCTTTGTGTTGGCAGCGTGTTTACCGCTCGTTTGTCCGGAAGACATGCAGGATGCTTGGCGCATCCGGCGTCGTTTTGGAGGGACGAAAGCTCCACTCGTTCCCTACACATTTAGGGATGCATGAAGCTTCCAGCAAGCTGTTTTCGGAATGGGCAAGCAGCTGCCTGGCTAGCTTCTGAAACGAAACACAAGCAAGCACACCACTATCGGCACCAGCTAAGATCCCAGAAGCAACCATATAGCACAACACAGCACGGTGCAGTCTGATACACTACACTTCCAGCAATGGTCGAACAACTTGCTCCAAAGCCGCCATAGAACTGGGCCTGCTGAGACTTCCATGTTTCCTGCCTTCTTAGCAGCCATCTATACGTCATGTAAATGTATGTGTCACAAATTGTAGGTCTGTGGAAACATGCGACTTGCATCAGAATACGGCAACATCGCT